GCAGGTAAAATGAAATCCTTCACAACTTCAATCTTTTCTCCATTTGTCATGATGTTGCTTATTGGCCCAGTTGTGAGGATTTTTGTTTTCTTTATGTTGAGGTGTAATTCATATTGAAGGCTGTGGTCTTTGATCTTCATTAGTAAGTGCTTCAAGTCCTCTTCGCTTTCAGCAAGCAAGGTTGTGTCATCTGCATAACGCAGGTTGTTAAAGAGTCTTTCTCCAATCCTGATGCCCCATTCTTCTTCATATAGTCAAGCTTCTCGAATTATTTGCTCAGCATACAGATTGAATAAGTATGGTGAAAGGATACAACCCTGACACACACCTTTTCTTACTTTAAATCACACAGTATCCCTTTGTTCTGTTTGAACGACTGCCTCTTGATTTATATACAGGTTCCTTATGAGCACAATTAAGGTTCTGGAATTCCCATTCTTCCCAGTGTTATTCATAATTTGTTATGATCCACGGTCAAATGCCTTTGCATATTCAATAAAAGCACAGATATACATCTTCGTGGTATTCTCTGCTTTCAGCCAGAAGCCATCTGACATCAGCAATGATATTCCTGGTTCCACATCATCTTCTGAATCTGGTTTGAATTTCTGGCAGTTCCCTGTCGATGTACTGCTGCAGCCACTTTTGAATGATCTTCAGCGAAATTTTATTGCGTGTGATATTAATGATATTGTTCGATAATGTCCACATTCAGTTGGATCACCTTTCTTGGGAATAGGTATAAATATGGATTTCTTCCAGTCAGTTGGCCAGGTAGCTGTCTTCCAAATTTATTGGCATAGATGAGTGAGCACTTCCAGTGCTGCATCCATTTGTTGAAGCATCTCGGTTAGTATTCTGTCAATTTCTAGAGCCTCGTTTTTCGCTAATGCTTTCAGTGCAGCCTGGACCTCTTCCTTCAGTTCCATCGGTTCCTAATCGTATACTACCTCCTGAAATGATGGAATGTCGATCAATTCTTTTTGGTGTAGTGACTGTGTATTCCTTCCACCTGCTTTTGAAGCTTCCTGTGTCGTTTAATATTTTTCCAGTAGAATCCTTCAATATTACGACTCAAGGCTCGATTTTTTTCTTCAGTTCTTTCGGCTTGAGAAATGCTGAGCGTGTTTTTCCCTTTTAGTTTTCTAACTCCAGGTCTTTGCATATGCCATTATAATACTTTACTTTGTCTTCTTGAGTCACCGTCTGAAATCTTCTGCTCAGCTCTTTTACTTAATCATTTCTTCCTTTTGCTTTAGCTACTCAACATTGAAGAGCAAGTTTCAGAGTCTCTTCTGACATACATTTTGGGCTTTTCTTTCTTTCCTGTCTTTTTAATAACCTCTTGCTTTCTTCATGTATGCCGTCCTTGATGTCATTCCACAACTCGTCTGGTCTTTGGTCATTAGTGTTCAACGCATCATATTTATTCCTGAGAAATAATACTACTATTCTTGAGAAATATTCTCTAAATTCAGGTGGCATACACTCAAGCTCACACTTTGGCTCTTCTTGATTTTTCAAAAATGTCCTCAGCTTCAATTTGAACTTGCATATGATCAATTGATGGGCTGTTCCACAGTTGGCCCCTGGCCTTGTTCTGGCTGATGATATTGAGCTTCTCCATCTTCTCTTTCCACAGACGCAGTTGATTCAATTCCTGTGTATTACATATAGTGAGGTCCACGTGTATAATTGTCATCTATTTTGTTGAAAAAAAGGTATTTACAATGAAGAAGTCATTGGTCTTGCAAAATCCTATCATATGACCTCAGGCGTTGTTTCTGTTACCAAGGTCATATTTTCCAACTACTGATCCTTCTTCGTTTCCAATTTTGCATTCCAATCACCACTAATTATCAACGCATCTTGATTACATGTTTGATCAATTTCAGACTGCAGAAGTTGGTAAAAATCTTCAGTTTGTTCATCTTTGGTCTTACTGTTTGGTGTGTAAATTTGAATAATGATCGTATTCACCTATGGATATTATCCTATCACTGACAGTGTTGTACTTCAGGATCGATCTTGAAATGTTCTTTTTGACAATTAATGCAACACCATTCTTCTTCAATTTGTCATTTCCAGTATAGTAGACCATATGATTGTCCGATTCAAAATGGCCAATACCAGTCCATTTCAGCTCGCTAATGCATAGGATATCAATCTTTTTACTGTCGCCTTGTGGAACCAAATGGTGAGTTTCTTCCTCTCCAAGTTGGAAGTATAGAATAAAATATTTTTGAGTATTTAAGAGAACAGAATTATCTCTCACTGAGAACCGAGAATGAAAGAAAAGCATGAGCAAGCTGCATGAACTGAGGATAGGTGACTGGGGAACAGAAAGGTCAAAATACATCTCCGAAGATGTCAGTGTAAGCAGATGACAACTGAGGACCAAATGTTTCACCCTTCAAAGCATTGACACAATTCCAAGACAGGGAGATTAAATTACTTTTGAAAAAGAAATGAAATTAAACTATGTATCATAAAGGAAGTTTTTATCTGCACTGATTCTACAGTCTGAGTTTTATATCCAATTCATTAGCTTTTCCTTGAAATTTTGGATTGATCTTCCAGTGCCTAATACAGTGTTCTTTATACAGTCTATGCCACTGCTGTCTAGTTGATTCTGACTCATAGTGACCCTACAGGACAGAGTAAGACTGCCTCATAGGGTTTCCTAGGCTGTAAATCTTTACAGAATCAGACTGCTGCATCTTCTGCACAGCAGCTGGTGGGTTCAAACCACTAGATTTTCATTTAGCACTGCACCACCACAATCAGCTCTCTGTTCTTTATTCTCTACACTTCCTCCCTGGAGGATGACATCTACTTATGTGGTCTTGGTTATTGTCTATCTGCTGATGACTTTAAAAGCCACAATGCTAGACCAGGCCTCTGTCCTTGCCTGTAAAGGGGCAAATAAAATTGTCTGCTGGTCACCTCTACCAGGATGTTTCACAGGCTTTTCAAACTAGTATGTCCAAGGAAGCATCCAGAGCAGATGCACTTCACCTCTCCACTCTACTGAATAAAATCCTTCTTACTGTCCTAAGGCAGAGGCACTAAAAGGCCATAAACTAGGTATTGCTCATGGAGTCTGTGTCAGACTTGTGGAGTTTGACACTGAAGATTCCAAGGATAGGGAAGGGGCCTAGGAGATGCAAGCCCCAAGAAAGCTGGAGAAGAGAGATTGCAAGGCAAGAGCAGCTGAAGATATTGTTATTGGTTGAATTATGTCCCCCCAAAATATGTTTTGTATATCCTAACCTCTATGCTTGTGTTCATAATCCTGTTTGGGAATGAGTCATCTTTGTTATGTTAATTAGGCAAGATTAATGTAGGGTGTATCTTGAGTCAATCTCTTCTGAGATATAAAAGAAATGAAACAAGTGAGCAGAGCGGAGATGGGGTAAGATAGATGCCAAGACACATGGAGATTTCCAAGGAACCAGGAAGCAGAAGTTGAAGAGACAAGGACCATCCTCCAGAGCCGATAGAGAGAGACTTTCCCTAGAGCTGGCACTCTGAATTCGGACTTCTAGCCTCCTAAACTATGAGAAAATAAGTTTCTGTTTGTTAAAACCATCCTACTTGTGGTATTTTTGTTATAGTAGCACTAGATGACTAAGACAGATGTAGAATACTTTCTTTTTTAAAACATTTGTGATGGATGCATTGTACTAGATACTGGGGATAGAAGCATGACTAAGACAATTTAGGTCTAGTCGAGAAGATAGGTAAATATAAAAAATTTTAGAAGTCAAAATACAGTTTTATGCAAGGTTCACAGAACATTAGAGAAATTAGATATAGATAAAATTCATTTACTTGTTTAATTCATTCTAACAGCATTTCCTGAGTACCCACTACAATGTGCTAGGAGCTGGAGAAACAAAAACGAAAAATATCCAGTCCTTATCCTGAGGGAACTAACAGTCAAGTGTAGATGTTTCTGGGGCAAGAGTCAGTAAATGTGTGTTGTTGTTGTGTGCTGTCAATTCCAACTCATAGCAACCCTGTAAGACAGAGCAGAACTGCTCCATAGGGTCTCTAAGGAGTGGCTGGTGGATTCAAACTGCCAACCTTTTGGTTAGCAGCCTGAGCATTTAACCATTTCACCACCAGGGCTCCAGTGAATGTGTAGTAGACATACTAACTGGATTTTGAGGATTAGCAGAATTTGTCAAGGTAGCAAGAATAGAACTACAAGGGCATGGAAAAATTAAACAGCCTGGAGTGTTCAGACAATGCCAACTGTATAACTACTTGAGCAAAAAGTTAAGGCTGTGGGTTGGCAACAGGAAATGACGCTAGATATGAATGCAGTGGACAGGCCTGAAAGGGCTTGGGCTTTTTACCATGACAACTCAAATTGTTATTTCTGGTGAGATTCAAGCAGGCACACGTTGTCCTGCAGCATCAGTTTTAATTAAAATAATCTGGGGGGAAAATAGATGCTTTTACTATTAAAATATGGAAGTATCATGGAGTTGGATGCAATGGCATATGAACAAGTAAAATATGACAAGAAATACAACACAATTCTACAGCTTTACAGGCAAATGGCTTTGGTTGTCACCCCTAAAGACCATAGGGGCAGGAATTTATGATCCTCAGCTCTCAGAGGGTCTAGGTAGGATGGCTGGAGAACACTGAGTTATATTAAGTGTGCGAGAAATGTGGAAAAGTTAAGCACACAGACTGGGGAGAGGATGTGGCTCGGAGTACCGGATGCCGTCTTCGCCTTTGCTGCCTGGATCTCTCATCCCGAAAGGATCCTCCACCAGCTACCCTTTTGTCAACGCCTCTAGCTTCGGAGCTGCACTCCCGACGCCCGGAGCCTCGTTGCCCGGGCAACTCTCTTACATCTGGCGCCTCTACGGCCTCCCTGCTATTGGCTAAGATGACGCAGCGCGCCTTTGACGCCACTGAGCGGCGCCTCCCGATCCTTGGGCGCTATTTGCGGGAAGCCGCATTTCCCGGAATCCCGGTGGTTGGTGACGGAGCGGCGGCTGTTGGCCCAGCGAGTGCTGGGAAGAAGGCCCCGCCTGGGGCAACGGCCGGTTTGCGGATCGTGGCAGAAAAGAGGAGCGGTAGGAATAGGTCCCAGGAGCAATGGGCTACGGGTGCAGGCGTCCCTGGCCTCAACTCTGGCTGGTTGACAGGGCCGCTGGACTCCGTTGCGAAGGACCCTGCCGATCCTGATCGCCTAGAGCGCGTCTGTTATTTCCTGGGGTCGGGCTTCGGCCAAGAGTAGCCTTCTTTGGCCTTATTTACCGACCTCATTATTCCCTTCCTCTTGTCTTTTAAATGAACACTTTGCTCTTTTCTCCCCCTGTCCACTTTTTAAACATGTTTCTGTCAGTTTCTACTTACCTTCATCATTTTTCAACTTTGTTCTACACCGTGGTCCTGAAGTGGTTTAGATATTTGGGAATGTGTGCTGGATGGAGGGGAAGAGACTGGGAAGATGTAAAGTAGATTTTTAAAGCCTTTGGATTTACTGTAGGGTATAAAGTGATTCGAGTAGGTGGCTATTGGGCTGTATCACTGTACTTTGGAAACTGAAGGAGCCTCAAAGATTAAACAAGGCTACTTTAGTGGCGAGCCTCTTGCAGTCCCGGAACATTCTAGACGTCAGGTTAGAGAGTAGGAAAAATCGTGGCCTCTGGCTCTGAGAATTTAGGCAGTTGATGAGTCCAAATCAACTGAAGGGTAACAGGTTTGGTTTGTTTTTTGAGTGCAGTAGTCTCAAAAGTAGAGTGTGGGAAGAAAGTATGTATAAGGAAAGAGATAGGATATATAAGCTATGTCAAACAATGACATAGTATTGACACAGGTGCCCTCGCTCCCTGGTAGAGGACCTGTAAAGTGGGTGTTCCACCCACACTCCCTTTACATCACCCCCCGTGTGTTATTTTATGAAATATATTTTTTACATTTCATGTTATTTTATGAAGAAGTACTCAGAAGAGTTGTTGAGTGTAAAATTAATTAAGCGTTTTTTCTTTTACAAACAACTCATGTTCCAGGTTTGTTGTCACTGGTATACTCCTAGGTGGATATTATTTTTAAAAAGTGAGCACATTTAAGTTGTGCTTAAGCTAGTGGATGATATCTTAACAATAAGTGAAAAAGTAATTGTTTTGGAAGGAAACTCTCTGATACAGGATGCTTTGTCAGTAGAAGTAAAATTTGTATTGTTGCGTGTGTGTTTTGTTGTTGCTGAAAATTACGTAAGCATATTATACATAATTGTCTTATGTACTTAAGAAACTTGGAAGCTCAGTTTTCTAGCACTTTCTAAAGTCTTCAAATGAAGTTTCAATGGCTTTTTAAACTCATTCAAAATATAAAAATGCAACACCTCATTAGTATGTTACAGGAACGTTTTGACAAGAAAGAAGATAGAAATTCAGCTGTAGAATTCCAACAAAAACTTTTGCATAATTGGTAGTTAGTGTTTGTCTTAATTTCCTAGTGCTGCTGTAACAAGAATACCGTAAGTGGATGGCGTTAAAGAACAAATTTATTCTGTCACAGTTTTGGACGCTAAAAGTCTAAATCAGAGTCTCCACCCTATCAGTTCCTTCCTTGTTGGTAGCTCCACGTTTTCCTTGGTTCCTTGGCGATATTCACATGGCATGTGTCTTCCCCCACACACGTGAATGTCTGTGTCTAAACAGCTTTTATAGCTCAGAAGTGATGAGGTTTAGGACACACTCTATGCTGGTATGGTCTCAGTAGCGTAACAAAGAGAAAGCCATTTTTGCAAAGAGGATCACATCCATAACAACTGGATTGAATTATGTCCACCCCAAAATATGTGTTGCAAATCTAACCTCTATGCCTGTGGTTATAATCCCATTGGGGAATGTGTTATCTTTATTATGTTATTGAGGCAGAATTAGTGTAGAGTGTGTCTTCAGTCAATCTCTTTTGAGATATAAAAGATGAAACAAGCAAGCAGAGCAGAGATGGGGTAAGATAGATGCCAAGACATGTGGAGATCTCCAGGGAACCAGGAAGCAGAAGCTGAAGAGACAAGGATCTTCCTCCAGAGCCTGTAGAGAGAAAAAGTCTTCCCCTAGAACTGACACCCTGAATTCAAACTTCTAGCCTCCTAAACTGTGAGAAGATAAATTTCTGTTTGTTAAAGCCATCCACTTGTTGTATTTCTGTTATAGCAGCACTAGATAGCTAAGATGACAGCGTTGAAAAACGTGCATTGTGCTTTGGTGTGGCCAGCTGTGCACCCTTCTCTTTGTGGATAGGTGCCTTTGTAGTGCGTCTTTTTCAGCTATGATAGTTACTAAAGCTTGGGATCAAGAGAAACTGAACTTAAGCGAGATCTTCATGTTGCTGTATCCCAAGGTGTGAAACCTAATTTTTCAAAAAGAAGGAAAAATATATATAGTCACAATGACCCCTTTATTACTAGTAATACTAATGCTAAAAAAGGCTTTGTACCATTAGAAACAAAATGATAATAGCTAACACTCATATATAGCATTTACTATGTACCAAGCACTTTCCTAACTCATTAGTCTTCATCATCACTTAGCGTAACCAGTTGCTGTTGAGTTGATTCTGACTCACAGCATCCCTGTGTGTGTCAGAGTAGAACTGTGCTCCATAGGGTTTTCAGTGGCTGATTTTTTGGAAGTAGATTGCCAGGCCTTTTTTCCAAGGCACTTCTGGGTGGACTTGAATTGCCAATGTTTTGGTTAGCAGTGGAGTGCGTTAATAATTTCCATCATCCAGGGACTTGAACATTACGAGTAGGTACTATAATTATCCCCAATTACAGAGTTGAGGAAACTGAGGCACATATTTTTTTGTTGTTGGTAACAGAAACTTAGATCATATTATTCCCTGGTCGGAGCTTCTCAAGTGGTCATAAAATTCAAGTGGCTTATGCTTCTAATCCTCTTGTCGACTCTCACCTCATCTCATACCACCCAGCTTTCCCACATCTACAGTACTTCAGCTCTTCTAGCCTGCTTTCTGTTTTTTGAAAACACTAAGCTTGCTCTTCCAAGGGTTTGTTCAAACCTTCCTTGACCTCCAGATTTCAGCAAATCTCAGTTTAAATGACACCTGAGAGGTTTCCCTGAGCTACCAATCCAAAGGAATCCCTCCTTAGTCACTCTTTCTAATCACCGAAATAAATTCCCTGCATGGTGCTTATTGCTGATTTTTTTAAATTTGTTTACTGTCTGTGTCTGAAGTAGAATATACATCTCCATGAGGGCAGGGACCTTTTCTATCTTGTTCTCTGTTGTATTCTCAGCAGGTTAGACAGTTCCTGGCTCAGAGGCTGGGATCTATATGTACTTGTTGAAATAAGCATTGAAGTGCAATATTAAGTCAACATATTTAAAGCCTGCCTTGGCTTATCTTGGAAACCCTGGTGGCATAGTGGTTGATACAGCTGCTAACCAAAAGGTAGGCAGTTTGAATCCACCAGGTACTCCTTAGAAACTCTATGGGGCAGTTCTACTCTGACCTATTGGATCGCTGTGAGTCGGAATCAACTCGACGGCAGTGGGTTTGGTTTTTGGCTTATCTTACCTTAGAATATTATCTGACAAATTAATGAGATATGCCATATTACTAGAAAATGCCTTTGTTGGGGATGAATGTGAAGTGTGATATTGGGAAGTAAGTCATGGTAGTGGAATGAGAAAATGAGGTCATTTTATTAAATTGAAATTATTCCGTGCAGAAATAATCTTATATTTAGTGTATTTTTACATGGTACTTTGATCTGGTCACATCATGCTTGAATTATTGGGCTAAATTTTATTAAGTGGAGTTTTGCCCCTCCTTTTGAAGATTGCTAATTTGTCAGGTAGATTAAAATAATCTCATATAAGGAATTGTTTAAGAAATTACCAGTGTTCATCCTGAAGAAAAGAAAACTAAGGATTTGAGAATGAAGATCCTTAAATATTTGAAAAGCTGTCATTTGAAAGTGGAAGACTTTACTTGTGTTTTTTTAAGGAGAGATCTCATATCGTAAATGAGGGGCAGTCATATACAAGGTGACCAAATTAAAGATACAAAGTGGGAAATGCTCTAAAGGAACAATAACTGGAGTATCGTGGAAGGAGGGCAGGGGGTAATCAAGTAGGAGTAAGAACAAGGAAGCAGTGCAGAAGTCAGAGTGCCATGGAAGCGTACAGCTGAGAAAGAAGATCAGAAAAGGCTCCATGGAATTTAGGATTGGAGGTAGGCCTAGAAACACTGGCAGGGAATTGGTTATATGAGTCTGGAGGTGGTGGTGGAGGGCTCCTGGATTGTTGCTGGGTGCCGTCGAGTCGGTTCTGATTCATAGCGACCCTGCGTACAACAGAACAAAATACTGCCCACTCCTGTGCCATCCTCACAGTCGTTGCTATGCTTGAGCCCATCATTGCAGCCATTGTGTCAGTCCGTTTCGTTTAGGGTCTTCCTCTTTTTCTCTGACTGTCTACCTTACCAAGCATGCTGTCCTTCTTCAGGGACTGGTCCCTTCTTATAACATGTCCAGAGTACGTTTCCATCCTCACTTCCAAGGAGCACTCTGGTTGTACTTCTTCCAAGATAGACTTGTTCTTTCTTCTGGCAGTCCATGGTATATTCAGTATTCTTCGCCAACACCATAATTCAAGGGCATCAGTTCTTCTTCAGTCTTCCTTATTCATTGTCCAGCTTTCACGTGCATATGAGGCGATTGAAAATACGGCTTAGGTCAGCTGCACTTTAGTCCTCAAAGTGACATCTTTGCTTTGTATCACTTTAAAGAGATCTTTTGCAGCAGGTTTGCCCATTTTCTGGATTAGAGATACAAATTTAGGGATAATTGGGTGGAGTAGGCAGGATTCATGGGGCATGAACTAGAACCTTCCCAATAGTAGCAGAGAAGAGGAAATTGTGAAAAAGGAAATGCAAATTGACTGCTTAGTGCATGCCAAATTCTACATGATTACATTGAGCTACTTACCTCATTTACTCCTCAGTAACAGACCTGGTAAGCTTGTATTGTTGTTGGTTGCTGTTGGCGTTGATTCCAACTTACGGTGACCCCATGTGTAGAACTGCTCCATAGGGTTTTCTTGCCTGTAATCTTTACAGAAGCAGATCATTGGGCCTTTTGTTCTGCTGTAACTCTGGGTGGGTTCAGACCAGGGCTTTGAACGGGTTCCTTCCGGTTTGAACCCCTGCTGAGAATGTACATTTCTAACAAGTTCCCAGATGACGCTGAGATGTTAATGCTGCTGGTTAGGGACCAATTCTGAGAACCACTAGCGGAACCACCCAGAAATCTTGTTAAAATGTAGACTCTGATTCAGTATATCTGGAATGGAAATGCAAATTCTCCGTGGGGGTTCATATGAAAGGAACTGGTTCGAAGCCCTGGTTCAAACCCCAACCTTTGGGTTAGCAGTCTAGCAGAAGCCGTTTGCAGCACCTAGGGATTTAATCTTGTATTACTACCTCCTGAGATGCAGACCCAGATCTGATCCCAAAGCTCCTTCTACCACATCACACCATGTTTATCACATCTGTATGGATGTGCAGGAAAAAGAAACAAAGATTATCCTGAGTTTTGCAGCCTAGAGGACCAAAAAACTGAGGATAGTTTAATAAACAAGGGATTCATAACTTCACTGTGATAACGTCAGGTTTGGTTTTGTTTACTTTAAGGAGCTTGTGGTACATTGGGTAGGAGAGCGCATTATGTCACTGGAAAAGTAAGACATGGTATGCAGACATTGCTGTTTTTAGCTTTGGAAATATAGAGACCAGAGATGACGGAGAATATGGGGATGTGCCATCCACCCCTTCCAAAATCTAGACCATTTCCTGAATATGACCAGAGGATTCCAGTAGAATTTCTAATAGCATGTTTGCGGGGTGGGGGGGTTATTTTTATGTATCTTATTTTCTTGCAGATGATTTTTAATTTGATGTTATTGGTATTATTCGAGGTGATATAATTTCATATTATTTCATTAGTCTCCAAGTATTTTGCTCCATCTCTTTTTGTATGTCCTTTACTGTATTCTCCTTTCCTCTGTTCTGATCTTTATATTGATAATGAACCCCCCCCCCCAGTTTTGTTTTGTTTTTTAATCAAGTATTATTCAACTGCAGGCATCAGAAAAAAGCAATGCAGAAATCAGAGTGTCATGGAAGTGTACAGTTGCGAAACAGAGTAACAGGTACAGAATTTTGCTTTATAAATGAAGAGGTGAAATTTGTAAATGACATTCTGTTAGACAGATGGTTGGGGAATGAGCTTTATGCTTGTATCTTTTTGTTCCATTTTTCCTAGGTAACTGTGATCAAAGGACATCATCAAGCGTACAAACAAAACACAGGACTACAGTTCAGCGAAGCAAATCCTCATCATCAGCCAGTTCTCCGGAGTCTGCAAGAAAACTTCATCCTCGACCGAGTGATAAACTTAACCCTAAAACCATTAACCCGGTAGGTGCAAGAAAAGATTCCTAATTCAGTAGATTTTCTCAAAGTTGTAGACATTCAGTACACTGTTGAATATTCTGAATGGTGCTAGTGATGAAGGAAGGCTTATGTGGTAATTGTGGTGCAGATAGAGATGACTAATGTCATAGATGTGGAGGTGAGACGGTGGAACGTAAAGATTAGTCTTGGTGTATCCTATCACATTCATGAATGAGCATTGTAGTGCATAAGACAAATCCCCTATCAGCTTTGTTCTTTATTTATGATGATTATTGTACTCAACATCAATGAAACAACTTACATTCAGTTGCCATGGGACTGATTACTTGCTCCCAAAGTTGAATACTGTAAAGGTCTCTGACTGCTCCTCTAAATTAGCTCCACCAGAAGTCCTAACTGTAGTGCTAGCCTACTTGCCCTCTCACAGCGATTTAATCAGATTTAGCAAACATAAAATTTACGCACATAGAAATGCATAAACTGTAAGTGTGTAAATCAGTCAGTTATCAAAAAGTGAACACACCTTTAAAGAGTATAATGAGAATGGTGAGGCACTTGACTAACTTTGATGGCCGGTAAAATATGGCAGATACTAAAGAACTATTTGAGAACAGGAGATTGTCTGACTTTATAAAAGAAAAATGAGAAAGAGTTTGAGCCTCTCTGTTCCTTTGCTCCTTTCTATAATCTACACAGTGTCATGGAAATTGAATACCTAAAGAATGCCCTAGTATCTTCTTGCTATTGCTTCCTTTTTCTGTATGTATTTAAAGGAGTCTCTGGTGACCCTTACAATTTCTTCTTTAAAGGAAAAGTCAACAATATTTAGTGGCCTTAGCCTTAAATTTTATTAAAAATTAAGAAAACTCTGGGGAGATAGTTTAATGATTTCACCTGGGAAAAGAGTATATAGAAAAGAGCACTTCTAAGATACGAAAAAGTTATCAATCTAAAAAGACTTGGTGGTATTGGAAGTCAAGATAGTGGTTACCTTTGGGAGAAAAGTTGGTAGGGTTGGACAGAGGCCTCGGGGAGACTTGTGGTGATGCAGTGGTTAAGTGCTTGGCTGATAACTGAAAGATAGGTGGTTCACACCCACCAGCTACTCCACGGGAGGAAGATGTGACGATCTACTGCCGTAAAGATTACAACCTTGGAAACTATAGGGCAGTTCTGCTCTTTCCTGTAGAGTCGCTGTGAGTTGGAATCGACTCGATGGTGCACAACAGTTACAGTTGGTGCACTGTTAACATTCAGCTTCTCCATCTGTACTTTAATGTACATAAATTGCAGATGAATCATAAAGATTTTGTTTTTAAGCTGCAAATTCAGTGTAGTAGTGCGTACTTAATAATGTTTCAGAATTGAAATATGGTCTGTGACAATATTAAACATTGAATGGACCACAGATGTTTTCATGGTAATGGAATTTTGATAAAATTAATCCATTGATTAAAAAAATTCTGAATCTGTGGGATATGGAAGATAAAACTATGATTAACTCCGTAGCAAATTAGAAAGGAAAGGAATTGCTTAGAATTTTATTCAGAAATTTTCCTGGTGGGTGTTTTGGAAATTTAGGGATTATTTACATGGCCGGTCAGACCAAAGAATACGATCATTTGCTAGTAGGTGGTAGAACTAAAAAAGTGTTCACGGTGTAGCACAAATTTATTTTAAGTTTTTTTCTGTCAATACAAACAGTATTTTTGCAAGTTCTTTTCTTGTCTGATATGACTATTACATGAAAACACTTAAAAACTTACATTTCTTTGTAGCAGGAATTATAATTAGATAAATGAAACATTACTGTTACTGTGAATTGTTACACAGAACATGAATTGAGCCTTGTAAAACAGTCTTACAATTTTGTTTTAATGAGATTTCAGCTGTGTTTTTTTGAGTCCCAGAGGAAAAAGGGCAAATTCTACGTTTATATTCTTAAGTAAATACACTAAACACTTGATATGATTTTTAAAAAAATCCTAGCTAGTTTTACCTTTAAAATAGGCTAGTAAATTTATATTTTGTAGTTTAGACAACTGTACTTCGTTTGATTATATTCAGATACTACATAGTAACATTTACATTTGTGCCAAAATCTTTAAGATAATAACGTATAGCAAAAGAAAGGTTGTGAGATTACACAATGTAATCAGACACAACCAGGCATGTTTGTAAGAGCCTTGCTTTGTCTTCAACTTTACCACTCCTGCCCAACCAGTCTTTGTTGTTTTTCTTAATAGAAGCATAGAGCCCATATAAATTCTCTGACCATCCAGACCATCCCATATTTGGCTGGAGAACAAGGAAAGTAGGAAGGTGTTGATAACTGAAAACAAACACTATTTCCTTGCACTCAACATTTAGCCCACAACTGAAAGGCCACAGTGGGGGGAGGGTGGGAAGACCAATCCATTCATTTTGGTTTCAGCCTCTTGGTTTCATTCTCTTTTGTAACAAGTTGGGGTGAAAGTAAGTACACAAAGTGTGATTGTGGTGTTAACAATGCTGGGAGGATTGTTTCTCAGACTCTGCTGATAAGGAGTGATAGACTTAATACCAGCATCATGACTTGAAAGTCAGGGGGCCGTTTGCCTCTGACCTGAGCAGGAATAGAACTGATTAGATACACAGGAAGTGGAGGTGATGGTGATATTTATTGTATTTTTGACGTTTTTAATTTCAGTTTGGAGAACAGCCCCGAGCCCCGTCTGCGTTTGCAGCTATTTACTCTAAAGGAGGTATTCCTTGCAGGTAAAATGAATACAAGTTATAACTGACCATGTTATTCAGAATAATTGAGTAAAATCAATACGCTATTCAGTTTAAATACGTTGAGAGTTTTATTTACTAGTGAGGTTGAAATAAAAGTGACTTATTCACACTTGGATTGGCATAGATCCCTGGACATTGTTGAAGCGATTTTAATTCAAAAATATAATTACCAATAGATCTCTAGTAAACCATCAGATAATTTAAGAAATTGAACAAACCACTTTCTGAAATAACCAATTTTAGCAAACTCAGGCTTAGGCAAGTTACAAATATATAATCCTATAATTGAAAGCTGGCAATGTAGTAGAATTGTTTATTTTTCTTAATGAGTACATATGGCTCTGTTTTCTTCCTTTTGGCTATAATTCTTACCACCTTTCTGGACACAAATCAGAAATATCTTAAAACACCATAGGTTACTAATAGTGTGTTATCAGTAAGATATTACTACCGAGAAGCATTAAAGTGCATCCAGTTTTTGCCTATTCTAGATGATAGAAATCTTCATTTTCATTGTGAAAAGAATCATTACAATAGTCTTTTTTTTGTTGTTCCAAAATTCAAGAAATGTAGCTTTCAATGATATTTTCAGATTTGGAGAACTGAGGAAAAAACAAGTTTTAGAAGCGTTCTTCTTTAGTTTATTGTACAATTGTCGTATTTAGATTCCTAATTGAAGCTGTATTTTAAGGTCCCCTTTCACCAATCTATTTTTGCTAAAAAAGCAAAACCAGTGTTACTGAGGCCTCTTGCCATTATGAAAACAATATTAAAGAAAGAGCCAACAAGACCGTTACAAAGGGACATGAAAAAAAATGTTTAGGGGTGATGGATAGGTCACTGACATGATTGCAGTGATGGTTTTACGGGTGTGTTCATGTATCAGAACTCCTCAGATCTATGTTTTAGATATATGCAGTTTATTGTATATCATTTGCACCTCAGTAAAGTCTTAAGAAAAAGAAGACACATCGGAGACCTTAATTTAAATACGGGGGCTACAACTTTGTAAACCTGGGCAGACCATTTCACTTTCCTGGCTTCATTTCTCATTTCCTTAGCAAGGATACAGCCTGCCCTGCCATCAGATCCTTAGTGTTAAGGTTAAATGATATAAATCTGAAAAACAGTAGTCCTTTATAAAAAAAATTATTGTTAGGAATTACTGCATTTTGCTTGTTTTCATTTTCCCTAGGTTACCTATTTTGATGTAATTATAATTGAAAAATTTCAAATGTAACCCTTACATCAAGACTCACAAATAACGACATGCTTGAGCAGCACATCTGTAGGCTTAACAGATGAGAAATTGTTTGGTTTTGCCACCAGACAATATTACTGAAAGAGTAGGATTTTATAGGATTATAAACATTGTTTTTAAAGATATACTTTACTATCTTTATAAAATCATGGTATTTCTACATGTTACAAAATAATTCTAATATGGTTGTGTCCTGTAAAGAGTATGTGTAAGATAATCACTGTTTAATGTATAATTATGTTTTCCTCGGTATATTCAGTGACTTTTATGTTTTAGATTGGTGCATGGTTCAGTAAAACACAGATTACAGTGGGAATGTCCTCCTGAAAATCTTCCATTCGATCCTCTTCTTATTACTTTAGCTGAGGTAAATATACCATTCTCTTCTCAATGCTTATGAAAAATAAATTTTAAATTGGACTAAATGTTACTTTCGTAACTCTTTAGTAGATCATTCTGCAATTTTGAAAATAGAAACCAAATAATAGGCATTAAAACATTATACCCTCATTTCATCCACCTTAGCAACTAAATATGATTAGTGTTTTTTTTTTAAATTTGAAGCTCGACAATCAGCTTTATAAACATGGAATTAGTCTACCCAGGGATTTCTAGGTAAGTAGGTAAAATATCTATACTCCGTTCAAAAAATAAAAACTGAAATGAAGATTATTCAAACTAGTTAAATCAGGAGAACATCAGGGGTTATAAAACTTAATCCACATCAGAGAAAGATGAGTGGCTGGTCTATTTATATATAATCAATCTTGTTTAACATGATGTGTTTCTTAGAGAACTGATACTACTACATACAGCTTCTTCTGGAGACTTCTCTGACACTTGGCTCTACTTGTCCATTTTAAATAGAATATCACGGAAGTTGTTTTTATAGAGAATTAAAAAAAACAACTAGTTATGCTAGAGTCCTCTATATAATTTAACATTTGTATCAGGAGAAATAAGGAGCCTTGGTGGCTCAGAAGGTCTGCGATTCAAAACCACCAGAGGCTCTACAGGAGAAGGATGTGGCAGCTTGCTTCCATAGAGATTTACAGCCTTGGAAACCCTATGGGGTTACTGTGAGTTGCAGTTGACTTAATGGCAGTAGGGTTGGTTTTTTTTGGTTTACCAGGAAAAAAAGCTGGAGGAATGTCAGCCTCAAGTGAATCAACGATATCTTCTGTTAATTTTATTCCTAGAGTTAGAAGTTGAGAAATGAATTAACTAGGTTAAACAGTTAGTCATTTGCCTGTTTTGAAAGTTGAGGGTGATGTTTTATGTTGTCATTGTTAAGAAAACCATAAAAACCCCAACCTGTTGTGGTCGAATCAATTCCGACTCATAGCGACCCTATGGGACAGAGTAGAACTGCCCAGTAGGGTTTTCAAGACTGTAATCCTCATGGAAGTAGGCTGCCACATTTTTCTCCTGTGGAGGCACTGGTGGTTTCAAACCACCAAACTTTTGGTTAGCGGCCAAAGTTTTAACCACTGTGCAACCAGGGCTCGCATTGTTAAGAAACAAGTCATTAAATTACAAATTGAAGATATTAATCTAGATAGGTAATGCCATGTTCATAGATAAGTCATATAGTAGTAAGTGATCTAAATAAAAACATACATTGAAAACAAAATGACTTGAGTGTTTTTTCTTTAAAGAACATTAGCCTTTCCTATACAGCCAGTGGGGGTGGGGGGTGGGCAGAGCAGGAAAAAGTATGTAAATAATTTTACCTATTATAAATACAAAATAATGAGATTTCTTAATTGTAATGAAGCATCACAATCTTTTGTTCCCCCTTTAGTTTTCCAAATGCTTTTAATCTCTTATGTGAACATACCAGTTACTACCGAAGTCTGCAGAATTGTTTTAGGTCTTTGCTTTTCTTAATTTATAGCTCAGCTTGTGGAAGAAATTTGATATTACAAATGGTATATTTGTGGGTAACGTATTTTGAAATTTAATTCTGATCAAAACCTTTTAAACTTGATATTAAAGATAAAGAATTTAGTGATATTTCATTAGTTCTTTTTTAAACTTTAAACCTTTTACGTATGGTAGCAAACCATGTTTTAGTCTAATAAATAGTGGTGCTTTTGAAAACACACTCCAGCTAATGATGGCGAAGGGGCAGGGCTTTAATTTTAGGAGTCTTTAAAGTTTGGACCGTGTAAAACTCAGCCCCTTATATACCTTTTGTCCAAACACTAATGGTTTTATTTTTGTCTTGGGTACACTTCCTTTCTACTTGTTTAATAATCGGGACATAGTGGCAGAAGAATCACTATTGAATCCACTTTGCTTCTCTACCAGAGCTCCTGAATCTCTGCGGTGAAGGGGTTAGAGATACTCCTGAGACGTCAGGACCTGCACTGCATAGTGGTGCTGGTGTGTCTACCAGTGTAGTTTTCAGCATGCCAGCATCAAGGAAAGGAAGTGTGTGATGACTGCTTGGAAGCAGAAAGTTTGGTCAGAAGGATAAACTGGTTGAATATTAGTACTTCTTGGCATGACTTTGCAAGCCATTTATACTTTTTTCACTTCATAAGTAATTGTTAAATTGAGAGAATATTGGCGTTGCTTTCTTAAATCTTTTCTGAAAAGGTCAGATGTCCTTTTTATCTTGATTTGTAGTGATTGGTTAAATCATGAAGGAGCACTATCTAATTGTTTCTAATGCATTTAGAGTGAAAAGCATAATGAGAAATGATTTACACAAGGTTTTTTTTTCGCATTTTCATTTCAAATTCCAATATTACAAATGACATTTGAAATCTTAAGATGCTTTTGTACATAGTCAAATCTTTGTTTTCTTTGTACCTTAATGTAAAATACCTAAATATAAAAAAAATACAATTGGAAATGGTAGAACTATAACTAAATAAGTAGGCATAATGATTAAAGACTTTAAAATAAATACAGGCATACAAAGTACTTTAGAAACTTATTAAACAAGTTATAAAATTAGTGTAAAGGTAGAGGTATACAGTCAAAGTAGTGGGTTATAAACATATGTTTTGGATTAATTTGCTGTACTTGCAAACAGTGTTTCGGGTGTATATAAAAGATCTTTTTAGTATCCCAGTGAGTTTTCTGTTCCTCTTTCCTCTTTTTATTTCTTTCTGTTTACCTGTCTTTTGTCTCTCCCATGCTGTAGGTCTTTCTCCTCCTTTCCTTCCTCCCTCCCTCCCTCCCTTTTTTTCTTCGTTTTTTTTGTTTTCCTTTCCTTTTTTATTCCTTTACGTTCCTTCTTCCTTTTCTTCATGTTCTTTTCCCTCCTTTCCCTCCTGTTGATGGCCATCCTTCCTGTCTCATGTATGACCTTTGTTCCACAGTTGGTCCGTGTAATTGAAATAGTAATTAATGAAGTTATATCATGATTAGGAAAACATAATAATACTAATAAAACTTTTGATTTCCACTTAGACTAGTAAGGATTCACTTTTTTTGTTTTTGCTAAACAAAATGGGTAGTAAGTTATGTTTGTTGTCTTTGGCAGGGTCTGAGAGAGACTAAGCACCCATATACCTTTGTGTCAAAGGAGGGTTTTCGAGAGTTACTTTTGGTCAAAGGTGCTCCTGAAAAAGCTGTGCCTTTGCTCCCTAGACTGATTCCTGTGTTAAAGGCAGCTCTGGTATGTCCTTTTGTTCCTTTGTACTTTCTGTTTCAAAAGCACACGATAGAAGGGAAAGAAAAGAATTTAGAATGCATTTAGAATATTTATGTCTTTTATTTTTCTCCAAATCTTATGTAAATTAGTCCTTTACCTGTGATTTTCCTCTGTGCAGTGCTTGCAGAATTATTGCACTGTTATTCAGGGCCAGATGATTATGTACTTGAAGACACCTTTTAGAGGATGTGTTAAAGATAACGGGACATTTTGAGTAATCAGAGAAAGTAATGAGCCTTAAATCTGCCTGTCCGTATGCTGCAATGTATCTTAGTTAATGCTTCAGTCAGGCTGAAAATTTGTTTCCTTTTTTTCTTTTTTTTTTGTCTTAAGGATTGTTTTTTAAATTCTGAGTTTGATTGATTATCTTCTGATTTTAAATGTTCCGTCTTATTTTTTCTCTACTTGTTACCCTTTCTCCTAACCCTTCTGTCCTTTTCTCTTTCCATTCCCTCCTACCCGACTCTCCCAACCAACTAACCTGACAGGTCCATTCGGATGATGAAGTGTTTGAAAGAGGACTGAATGCTTTGATGCAATTAAGTGTTGTTGTTGGCCCTTCTCTAAATGACCATCTGAAACATCTGCTTACAAGCGTAAGTACTGAAAAGATGAGGGAGTAGTTGTGTACATTTATCACATACTGTTCTTATCTCTTCATGATGTAATGGCTTCAAATTAATCATTAAAATAATTAAAAACCTTAAAAAATGTTATCGTCCTAGCCAGAAAATATAAGACCAGTATTTTAGAAAACATTTTATTAATGGACATTGTTCTCTAGGTTTTTGTTGTTGTTATTGTTGTAACAGAAAGCACCTGCAGAGTTTCGGGTTGTCATAAAAAGTAAGGAAAAGTTGAATGGACAAAAATTAATGAGTAGTGTAATGGTTTTATGCCCATTTTCTTAGTCATCTACTGCTGCTATAACAGAAATACCACAAGTGGATGGCTTTAACAAAGAGAAGTTTATTCTCTCACAGTCTTGTAGGCTACAAGTCCAAACTCAGGGCATCAGCTCCAGGGGAAGGCTTTCTCTCTCTGTCGGCTCTGGAGGAAGGTCCTTGTGATGTATCAGTCTTGCCTTGGTCTGGGAGCATCTCAGTGCAGGGACCTTAGGTCCAACGGGCACCCTTTGCTCCTGGCACTGCTTTCCTGGTGGTATGAGGTTCCCATATGTCTCTGCTTGCTTCTCTCTCTTGTATCTCAAAAGAGATTGGATTAAGACACTATCCAATCTTGTATACCTCATCAGTATAACTGCTGCTAATCCATCTTATTAGATCATAGTGATTGAATTTACAACACGTAAGGAAATCACATCAGTTTACAGAATGGTACACAGTTATACAATACTGGGAATCATGACCCAGCTAACTTGACAGATATTTTTGGGGGACACAATTCAATCCATGACACCCATGGTATTAGCTATGAATTATAAGCAGTGCTTATACACTCACTTATGTGACGGTATACTTCCAAAGCCATGTTTTCACCTTTTCTCTTTTACTTTGTGTGATCTTCAGTGTGTCTGTAAATGGCATTCATGATGATACCTTTTCCTGTTACGTGTAGTTTAATTCTTGTCACAAGTATACGTTGGGACACTGTGCCATTTGAAAGGCCCCGAAGACCACTCTCAGGTTTAATGATTTACTAGAAGGGCTTGGGGACCTCAAATTTGCAGGTGTGGTTTATTGTTGTGAAAGGATACAGATAAAATCAGCAAAGGGGAGAGGAGCATAGGGCCAGAACCAGGGGAGACCAGGCACCGAGCCTCTGGTCATCCTCTCCAGGTTGAGTCGTGCAGGATTCAGTCACGTAGACATGGATGACCACTTACATGGCTGACTGTAGTGTCCAGCCCCTTTGGAAGTCCAGCTGATAGGTCTTAACCCAAGGCCCCAACAGTAAATCACATTATTAAATAGACTATAGACTATCTAAGGAGCCCTGGTGGTGAAATGGTTAAAGCACTCAGCTGCTAACCGAAAGGTCTGTGGTTTGAAAGCCCTGCAGGAGAAAGATGTGGCTGTCTGCTTCCATAAAGATTTACAGCCTTGGAAACCCAACAGAGCAGTTCTACTCTGTCCTATAGGGTCACTATGAATTGGAATCAACTCAACAGCTATGAGTTTTTTAAATAACAAGGACATCTTCTGAGAGGATTGGGACAGGGGAGGTGAAGGGGAAGTGATATGTAGAGAAAAGGAATCACACTGGATTCTTCTTCAGACTCAAGTTCAGCAAGGACCTTTGCTTCCTAAACAGCCTCCTACCCCTGCTGCCCATCTCAGCAGTGAACAAAGGACAGATGAACAGGTGAACTACGTAGACTTGTTTTATTTTGTTTTTAACCTTTATGGATCAGTGATGTTAACCTGTGATCCTTCACACTCCTCCCCAGGGCTCTGCTTTTCCTAAGACAAGGGCTAGCTGAAAGGGCCTCTAGCCTTTCTGGGGTGTCCACACTCTGGGAAGAAAGACCTAGACACCACAGTGGCCTTCAGATTTGGCTGGGAGAGAGCTCTGGAATTAGGCGGTGCTGGGGGTTAGTTCCTCACTGAGACTCCATGCAAGGTGCTCTAGCACTCCCTCCTTACCTGCCTTATCCCCACGCCCCGCTTCAGCAAGAAAGGCTTCCTTTTCACCTGATTTAGCAACGCCTGCATTAGATGTTCATTTGAAGAAAGGTTTCTCTTCTAGAAAAAGAATTTCAAAACCAATTAGTGAGACTATACACAATTCCTCTTCTTTATGTGCAAAATAAGTCATATCCTTTTTAAACTTCAAATACAAAGGACTGCTACTGACCCTAGGGCAGTGACCCTCAAACTTTAGGGAACGAATCAGCTGGGAATTTTGCTAGAAATACAGAATCTGGGCCTTCACTCCAAGATTCTTGTTAAGTAAGTATAGGGTAGGGCTCAAGAACCTGCATTATTTTTTCTTTTATTGTGCTTTAGGTGAAAGTTTACAGCTCAGATTAATTTCTCATTCAAAAATTCATACACATATTGTTATATGACCCTAGTTGCAATCCCTATAATGTGACAGCACACTCCCCTTTGTACCCCAGGTTTCCTGTGTCCATTCAACCATCTCCTATCCCTTTCTACCCTCTCATCACGCCTCCAGACAGCAGCTGCCGATTTAGTCTTATGTATCTACTTGAACTAAGAAGCACACTCTTCCCGAGTATTATTTTATGTATTATAGTCCAGTCTAATCTTTGTCTGAAGAGTTGGCTTCGGGAATGGTTTTAGTTCTGGGTTGACGGACCATGTCTTCTGGGGTTCCTTTAGTCTCAGTAGGACCATTAAGTCTGGTCTTTTTACCTGAATTTGAGTTCTGCACCACACTTATCTTGTGCTCTGTCAGGCACTCTGTTGTGTTCCCTGTCAGGGCAGTCATTGTTGGTAACTGGGCACCATCTAGTTCTTCTGGTCTCAGGCTGATGGAGGCTCTGGTTTATGAGACCCTTTTGTCTCTTGACCTAATATTTACCTTGTGTCTTTGGTGTTCTTCATTATTCTTTGCTGCAAGTGAGTTGGGACCAATTGATGCATCTTAGATGGCTGCTCACAAGCGTTTAAGACCCCAGATGCTGCTCACCAAAGTGGGATGCAGAACATTTTCTTAATATACTTTGTTATGCCAGTTGACCTAGATGTCCCCTGAAACCATGATCCCCAGACCCCTGCCGCTGCTACTCTGTCCCTTGAAGTGTTTGGTTATGTTTAGGAAACTTCTTAGCTTTTGGTTTAGTCCAGTTGTGCTGACTTCCCCTGTATTGTATGTTGTCCTTCTCTTCATCTAATTCTTGTCTACTATCTAGTTAGTGAATTTCCCTCTCCCTCCCTCCTCACCCTCGTAACCATCAAAGAATGTTTTCTTCTGTGTTTAAACCTTTTCTTGAGTTCTTATAATAGTGGTCTCACACAATATTTGTCCTTTTGCAACTAATTTCACTCAACATAATGCCTTCCAGCTTCATCCATATTGTAAAATGTTTTGTGAATTCATCATTGTTCTTTATCATTGCATAGTATTCCATTGTGTGTATGTACCATAATTTGTTTATCCATTCATCTGTTGATGGGCACCTAGGTTGTTTCTGTCTTTTTGCTATTGTGGACAGTGCTGCAGTGAACATGGGTGTGAGTATATCTATTCGTGGGATGGCTCTTATTTCTCTAGGATATATTCCAAGTAGTGGGATTGCTGGATCCTATGGTACTTTTATTTCTAGCTTTTTAAGGAAGCACCAAATCAATTTCCAAAGTGGTTGTACCATTTTACATTCCCACCAGCAGTGTATAAAATTTTCCAGTCTCTCCACAACCTCTCCAACATTTGTTATTGTGTGTTTTTTGGATTAATGCTAGCCTTGTTGGGGTGAGATGGTATCTCATTGTAATTTTGATTTGCGTTTCTCTAATGGCTAATGATCATGAGCATTTCCTCATGTATCTGTTAGCTGCCTGAATGTCCTTTTGGTGAAGTGCCTAGAATCTGCATTTTTTTAACAAGTATCTTAGGTGATTCTGAAGTTGCTGGTAAACCCCTGATGTCAGAAAACTCACTCTGAAGAATGCAAACCTAAGGACTGTGAGAGAAGCATTTTCTTGTCCTTCGCTGGGGCATTGCCTGTCTTCTCAGAATTGCTTTACTCACATTTTTTCATCTTTCTGGGAGTCTCTTCTAACCCTCCCTGACATTTGATGACCTGACTAAGGGGACTCGGTAGGCAGTGTTCAGTGGTGTGAAGTACTCCTGCTGGCTTACTTTCATACCAAGAGGAGGAAGGATCAGAAAATAACTTTCTATGACAGAGGCCTATGAAGAGTATGACGAATGACTAATTCTTGCCTGGGCTTTAGCTGTGTCTTCGTCTCCTGAGGCTGCCATGACAAAATACCACAAAGTGGGTACGTAGCTTTGAAGAACAGAAGGTTTTTGTTTCACAGTTCTGGAGGCTGTTAGGCAAATTCAGGGTGTCAGCAAGGTTATATTCTTTGTCTCCAAAGGCTCTAAGGGAATATCCTTCCTGTCTCTTTCAGCTTCTGTAGCCCCAGTTGTTTCTTGGCATTCCTTGCTTATAGATAAATCCTGACTTACTGTCTCCCTGCTGAGTAGGACTGACACTCTCTCTTTCCATGTCTGTCCTCTTTAATAAAAGGCCATTCAGCGGGGGATTAGGATTAGGACCCACCTTACTCCAGTAAAACTTCATTAACTGGTAACAACTGCAAAGAAAAACCCTATTTCCCCAAACAAGGCTATATTCACCAGCGCAGAGGTTAGGATCGACATATCTTCTGGAGGAGGGGACACCATTCAGTCCATAACAAATAGTATTCCCAGAAAGTGGAGCTGTGAGCAGGTAGTGCTATAGGCTGAGGTAGTTACGTTGTTAGGTGCAGTAAGGCAGGCATTTGGTGGGAACACTGCCACAGGTTGTGCTTGATTGCGTGAATTGTGTTATTTCCCTCTTTGCTCCTGTGATTTAGTCCTCACCCACCCTTTGCTCCCTCCCTTTTTCAGTCAAGGTTCTACCTGTCTAGCTGAGGCTCATTCAGGACTTATCTTGGGATAGTAGTCTATGGTTTCTAATCCAATCTCTCTGTCACTGTTATTGACTTATTCATTTAAATGTTCTGTTCATTGTCTTCTCTTTTTATTATAGGAAACCATGTGTTTTATAGGCTTAGCTTTCTAGCATAATCCTCCGGTGTTATTACAAATCACAAAATGGAAATACATTATTTCACAGAAAATTTATTCGATACTGTACTGTAGCAGATTTCATTGCATTGATATTTAAAATAATGTAAATTCATTTTTTTAAACAAATAAATTGGTGTCTATTACATGTCAGATTTCAATTACATGTTTCCTAAAAGAAGCCTTGATATCTCATACAAATTAAGCAATGTTCGTATATTTATTGTACAGTAAAAAACTTAGTAGGCATTATTTCTAGTTAGCCTGTTAGTAAAGTTTTACTTATGCTTCTAGTGAATAATGGTACTTTTTCAAGTAATTTATTTTTCCCTCCAATCTGTTTTTTAAAAGCTTTCCAAGAGACTAATGGACAAGAAATTCAAAGAGCCAATCACCAGTGCATTGCAAAAGCTAGAGCAGCATGGTGGGAGTGTAAGTACAGCATTATCCCTTAAGTCAGTACTTTTTTTTTTAATCTTTAGTCATATTACAAAACACTGTATTTATTTATTTTTATTGTGCTTTAGATGAAGGTTTACAGAGCAAATTCATTTCTCATTAAACAAGACACATATTCTTTGGTGACATTGGTTGCCAGCCCCACAATGTGTCAGCACTCTCCCCTTCTCAACATTGGGATCCCCATTGCAAGCTTTCCTGTCCCCTCCTGCCTTCTCATCCTGCCTTCTTGTCCTTGCCCCTGGGTTGGTGTGCCCATTTAGTCTTGTTTTGTTTTACGGGCCTGTCTAATATTTGGCTGAAGGGTGAGCCTTGGGTGAATTCAGTACTGAGTTACAAGGGTGTCCGGGGGCCATACTCTTGGGGTTTCTCCAGCCTCTGTCAGACTAGTAAGTCTGGTCTTTTTTTGTGAGTTGAAATTTTGTTCTACGTTTTTCTCCACCTGTGTCCAGGACCCTCTATTGTGATCCCGGTCAGAGCAGTTGGCAGTGGTAGCCTGGCACCATCGAGTTGTGCTGGACTCAGTCTGGTGGAGGCTGTGGTAATTGTGGTCCATTAGTCCTTTGGACTAATCTTTCCCTTGTGTCTTTGGTTTTCTCCATTCTCCCTTGTTCCAGATGGGTGGGATCAGTGAAGTATCTTAGATGGCTGCTCACAAGCTGTTAAGACCTCAGGCGCTACTCACCAACATAGAATGTAGAACATTTTCTTTATAAACTGTTATGCCAATTGAGCTAGATGTCCCCGGAGACTATGGTCCCCAGCTCTCAGCCCAGTAATTCAGTCCCTCAGGGAGTTTGGATGTGTCTATGGAGCTTACATGACCTTGCCTTGGTCAAGTTGTGCTGACTTTCCCAGTATTGTGTACTGTCTTACCTTTCACCAAAGTTACCACTTATTTATTGTCTGTTTAGTACAAAACACTATAACTTGTATTATCTCATTTCAGCTGCAAGTAACCATGTGAAGTTGATACTGTTATTTCCGTTTTGAAGCTCAGAGTTTGTGTCTTGCCTAGGCCGCACAGTGTTTGAGCCCTGGGATTCAGTCCCAGGTTGTGTAAATACAAGACCTTGCATTCCCCTCTGCTTACTTACTGTGTGGTACCCCACATGGTGCTGCTTTACATTTTTTCCTTTAAAGTATTTTGACTTTCTTTGCATGGACCATTGGAAAATTCAGAAAACAAAAGGATTAGCTTAGAGAGCTGATTGAAGGAAGAGTATCTTTCATTTTTTTCTTCTGCCATCCTTCTGTCTAAAAAAATGTAGAATCTGCCATAAACAAAGACTGAAATAGCATTTTCAGATGACTGTGCTACTGTGTCTGTAAACACAGGCACACACACACACACAAATAGTTCAATTGATTATTCTGTGTTTTCAAGATGGGAGAATGTGGGGGAATTTCATTACCATCTCAGTACTGTCAGATAACTAGGTTAATTGAGTTTTCATCTTTTGAAAGAAGTGGTCAAATCGTTGAGTCTTAGAATTATTTTCATAAAGAAACGATCCCTTCTTGTTTTGAGAGATTAATCAGATCTTAAATGGTACAATTGTGTGCATGAGTGTCTTAACATTGCCGAATTTAGTTGTAGTACATGTACTTCTAACAGAATTATAATAAAGTTTGTGGGCGCATGTACAATTTTAAAGTGGCAGACATTTTAGTTTAAACTTTACTTACTTAATTTGACCCATTTCAGTGACTTTTAAAGTGATTATATTCTTTTTATGATGAACGCCTGGTTTAAAATTTATGAAGAGAGTAAGTTCTATGTTTACAAGATAATGCGTTTCTTTGTTGTGAGTTAGCCCCTAGGCAGGGTATTAGCATTCAGACACCTTGTTGATGAGGCATGTAAAACCTCACTGTCCTGAGAATTTGATTGCAAAATGAATTTATCTTTACCTCTCCTGTGAAATTCAAGTAAACAGATGCTCAATAATGGTGGCACAGCTTTTTTGGCTTCAGTGCACCCTCCTGAGTAGGACTGACGCTCTCTTTCCATGTCTGTCCTCTTTAATAAGAGGACTGTGGACTGGTACTGGGGAAATGGCAGGTAGACAGGGGGCAGGCCCAACATGTTAGATATCTTAGGGTGGAGGTAGCTTGCTTCTAAATGAACTTCACAAAGACCATATTAAGATTCGGAGGTGAAACATAGATGGTTGGTTGACTAATCAAGATCCCCAGGCTAGCAAGAGGTTCCTCTTTTATTGCCACTCTTACTAGTTTTGAATATTGCTAATAACAGAATAAGAAAGTATTTTGTAGTTGAAAGGGCTGCTGAGTGCTGTTTATTTTGTTTGGACTTTTACTCTTCTATTTTCCTCCTCCTTATGCTCTACATAATATTTTAACAAATAATCAGTGCAGTTACAAAAGAAAATTGAAATTATGTATCAGAGACTTTCCCTTAATTATTGTTGTTTGCTTCTGGTACTTTGTAATCTGTCATGAAATTAATGAATGCTCTTCTAAGAACTTCAAAGTTTATATGTCTTTCTCTTTCTTTAAATGTTAGAAAGGAGTCTTTAAAAGGATTCTTCTCAATATTGCAGTTTCTCATTTTTTTAGGGCTTGAATATATCACAGTGATGGAAAGACTCATCTGGGGAACCAAAAATATCAGTTACAAATACACGGTGTCATTTTCTTATAACTAATCATCTTACTACCTGCCTGCTTTTGTTTATTGCCAATTACAATTCAAACCTGGTCACTCTTAGCCTGGTTTAGTTTTCTTTCTAAGTGATGAGCATGTTTGTCTTGGGATAGACACACACTTATTTATACAGACCCCAATGTCTACTGAGTACTTGAGAAATTTACAGTGTGCCAGTATGCTACTAAGTATAGACATTAAGCTTATCTATTCACTAGAACCCTTTGAGCTGTGTTTTGTTGTTACCCCCCTTTAAAGATCAAGAAAGAGGTGCAGAGAAGTAATTAGCCCCACATTTGACAGTGCAGTGAGGGATAGAAGCTGGATTCAAATCCTGGTAGTCTGGCTTCTAACTACTTCTTTAGTTAGATACTTTAAAAACCAATAACAACCTACATACTGTTTAAGTCTGAAAAAAGTTTTCTTTCCATTGTTCTGCTCTTGTTTTGTTTTTTAGAGTTGGGCATGTGTTAGGAATGTTCCTGCAAATATAGAACCTTTTAGGGTAATGCTCCATGTTATTAATGATGCTGATTTTTTTTCTGTCCACAGGGAAGCCTCATTGTCATCAAATCTAAAATCCCAACCTACTGCTCTATCTGCTGTTGAATAAGGGAGCCAACAAAAAGCATCTTAGTAGGTGGTGACAGGTATTCAAAGGTCGACTGCGGGTGCCTGTGGAAACTTTCAGATTCATTTCAGTTTTTCTGTTTTGTAAATCACAGCCACAATTCATTATTTACTAGGTTAAAATGAATATACATGGTCCCACTGAATCATAGTAAAAGTTATTCATCATTAAGAAAGAACGGTTAATGATGGAAAGCTATTAAAAGGAGTTCTATAATAGTACAGTTTTGTGGGTTTATTTTTCACATTTTTATGGTTTGTGTGAAGAACCATAATGGGTTTACAGCATCAGATGTGTTTCTGTTTATTTTCTAGTGCCTTTTATTTATAGCATCCCTTTGTAATAAATTTTTTTGCTGCACTTATTTTTATATTTTGCCATTATTTGTCAGTTTGATATTTATCAAGGCTATAAAAATTTAAAATAGTGGACAGACATTTGTGAATTCACTATTGTAAATATTTTATAATTTAGAATGCATGGAAAAAAATTTATTCCATAGTATTATAGTTTAATAAGTCTTTTTAAATGTGTAAATTCTCTTACAAATATGTTGTTTATTACAACTCATTAAAACTACCTAAACTTTAGGTGTTAATTGTATTTAAATAAATGTTATTTTTGTATTTCATAGCCTGAAAATACTGATGTATATGTGAAGTTATTCAGAAATTAAAATCTTAAAATTTTAATGTGTATTCAGTGATTTTGTTATGCTTGCTATGTTTAACAATTTTTTTTGAAGCTTTTAACGCATAATTTACAGGCGTAGTTTTCAGAGCTGATTCTTGGTTCACTCTTCAAGAGAGGAGTAGAAGAAGAGAAATAAGAAACGGAAATAAGACCTTGCGTCTTCTGGGAATAGAGAGGCTACCAGGACTTGAGTAGCCACACCAAATGCAGAGTGGACCAGTATTTTGAAGGGATGGAAATGAGGAAATCACTCTTATATAGGAGCAGCAATATTATATCCAAGAAGCATCCCCCAAAATACCTGAGTGACCTCTTTACAATTCTGATATCAGATGCAACCTCACAACTGTAGTTTGGAAGAATACAAGTAATTTTTGAAGAGTCGTAATTGCAGAAATGCCCCTCGTCTCTCCGAGCTTTTGCCCTGCCCGGTCCCTCTGTCTGGAGGACTCTGTCCTCGGGTCTCTGCTCACTTGTCACCTTCTCAATCACACTAGCTACAAGAGCTGCCTGCCCACTGCCCTAGCTGTTACTTTTCTTCCTCGCACTTAGTCACACCCAAAGACAAGATACCTAAGATCTAGACAATGCCCTCGGAAAAAGAAGTAATATTTTAAATCTCATAATTACAAAATTTGTTAAAGACCTATAACATAGACAGTAGAGTTATAAACATTTTACTCGCTTTTATTTTTCTTTTATGAAATACAAAATGTGCACATTGAGTTTACACAAATACGCGATGGCAAATTTCAGTGTACATGTATTGTACTACTCTTAATTCCTACACTGGTGATAGCAGGGCAGCGTTCAAATCCTATCTCTACACCAGAATAGATACCTGATTTATTGTTGCAAAGACAGTTGCAAGTTCCCTTCTACTGTAGCCTCTTGGTCTTTGTGATATTTCTGCAAAACAGGGAAGATAATGTGTATCTTCAGTATTGTATGGCAACTTTATAGTATTGGCTTAAGATCATTAGAAAGACTCTGAATTGTGGGAATTTTATGATGAGCTAGATTATAATACAATCCAGATGAGTAGTTCAGCAGTTGTACTCATACTCTACTAATCTTGGTATTGTAGTTCTCAGTATAATGGAATTACTGGTGCTTTCAATGTGAATTCTGCTTGCTATTTGTTCTTAGTAGGCATTGGGGTAGTCAAGGTTTCTTTGTCCCTCAATGGCTTGTAATATAAGCATGCTGTGAGGAAGTAGGGGAAAGAGGGTGGAAAAGGCCTTTATGCTGTTAAAGATTACTTGTTTTTAAGCATTAACATATACTGGAGGGCTAACATCTTGACCCTTTGCATATGCTTGTAAACATCCTTGCTTTATTTTCACACCTTGGACTTTGATTAATGATACAGTATAAAATAGTCAACCCTGGTGGCACAGTGGTTAAAGCCCTAGGCTGCCAGCCAACCAAAATGTCAGCGGTTCGAACCCACCAGCTGCTCCTCGGGAGAAAGATGTGGCAGTCTGCTTCCATAAAGATTTACAGCCTTGGAAACCCTGTGGGGGCAGTTCTGCTCTTCCCTGTAGGGTCGCTATGAGTCGGAATTGCCTCATCAGCAATGAGTTTTTCTAATGGAACAAGTCCAAAATTATATAGATTATGTAGGCCTTGGGTGTAATATGTATTATGAAAAAACTAAGAAATGCTTATTAAATAGGCATTATTAGACATATGCTGACATCTTGTAAACTGTTTAATGTTATAAAAGATGCCAGGTAAATTAAAGTCTTTAACATAAGGCAGCAAATCCATAGAAGCTGGGACTATGTGTTTGATAATTTCAGTTGTCACCTTTTTTTTGTTGTTGTTCACTTACAGTACATAAACGGGATTATAGCATACAAACAATAAATTAATTTCTGGAAATTAAATGCAGATGCCAGTATTTTAGAAAACCATTTAAAATCCTGGGGCTGAATCCATACAAATGTGTAGCAAAAAACACTGCTATTTTAAAATCACTTTGGTAAGTGAAAGCCTCAATAATCCCATGGCTAAAGAATCAAAAAGACTATGCCAGGCTCTATTACGTTTGAATATCCACAGGGTATGAAATGACTTTTAAAACATCCCATGAGCTTAGTGGCGTTATGAAAAGGATGCAAATTTATAACTGGAAAGCTCAAATCTTTTGGGGATTGCTTTATGTTAAAACAAAGCTTGTTTGCATAATATGCCTCAGTGTAAAGCTGAGCAATCTATGCTAAAAGTGATAGCTCCAACTTTAAGTGTGGTAGAATAGTTCACATTTGTCTGTTGGATTAAGGATCTAGTTGACAAGTTAAATCACATTTTCAAATAGCTGCATGGAGCGCATTATGTTTTCATCCTGTAAGGGAAAAACAGACATTGACTTAAGCATATTTGCAATGAAAAGTACACTGTTGCCCCCAAGTACTGCCTCCCCCGCCAATCATCTATGCCAGAAGCTCAAATACCGTCCTATCCTTTTTCCATATAGATAAGTGGAGACAGTCCATTTTGTTTTGTTGGGTTGACCAGGCTTTATGCATTTATTTAAATGTGGCTTGGTGATAATAGAGAATATTTCTCAAATCATAATGCCAGAATGGAAACTAGGGGGACGCAGGGAGTGAGTCAAAATGAGCAAATGCCAATTCTGGCCTTCTTGGTAGATCAAAGACAAAATTACAGAGACTTTTATAAATGTAGACGGAAACAGGGTCTGTGTGTGAGCTTTGGGTTAATTCCATGAGGACTGGAGGTTGGGGCATAGGATGCAAGATGGTAGTGTTGAGAGGGAAACATGTTTGCTATAATCACACCTTTCTGTGTTAGTTATGGCTAACTTTGCAGAGCCTTTGTTGTTAGGTGTGGGGCCTTTAAAAATGGTTTCTTCATGCCAGAGAAAGAATTTGTTGGCAGCAGTCAATAAATTGCCCAGGGGCTGTTCAGTTTGGTATATTCCTCAGAAAAGACCTAAGGGAACAGAGTTTGGGCATTATAGGGGCACCTGGTGATTGCATGTGAATGAATGGCACCTAGTGAGTTGGTTATCGTAGTGGTAAATGGGGGCAAACTGATGAATGGCTTCCACTGATAGAAACCAAATCACATTACCATTAAGCAGGTTAATGTCACCAAGTTAATTTTTCAAAGACCACCCCGTTGAAATGTTGAGAAACTGAAGCAGGCATCAGGAAAGCTGAAGCACCAACAAACTTCTTTGTTCCCATGATTATTTTAAAAACTATTTACTTGTGATTCTATCCACATCTCAAGTCAAATAATTTTTGGTAAGCTAATACTGGTCTCCCACCAAATGATGGGCAAACCTGTATTTCTCCTCCAAGAGAATTTTCTGCTCTTCATTCTTTGCTACTGAAGACCACTATTGGGTTCAGCCAAACAGCTATTTCTTGTCCACATACACTAAAGAAATATGGTGTTTCTCTAAGACATCAGATATGATACTGGAATTCTAATTCTATGGAGATAAACATAATATACATGCTATATGCTAAATCTGGGAAAAGAACAATTCAAATATCACACATGTTTTATATGCAGTGATGAATACTGTCTAAAGGATTTGGAGAAGAAAAACAGTACATGTGTAACTTCTGTATCGCCAAGGCATCATGCATTGGCACTCTATAAATGTTGATTGATTCAATCCATGAATTCGTGCTTATTTTCATAGTGGTAGGCTTATCTGTGCAAAATGGTAAGTTGGACATATATGACCTTTATATTTTGCTAGACCACTGAGCACTGATACTCAGTTCATAGTGGCTGGCTGGCAAACCACCACCCGTGTATCAAGTTTGTTGTCCTGTGGTGGCTTGCATGTTGCTGTGATATACCAGCAGGGTCACCCATGGTGGACAAGGTTTTAACAGAGTCTCCAGAGTACGATTAGGAAGAAAAGCCTGGTTTACTTCTGAAAATTAGCCAGTGAAAACTATGCATCATAACAGAATACTGTCCGATACAATGCTGGAAGATGAGCCCCCTAGGTTGGAAGGCACTAATGAACTCCAGCAAACCAACAATCATGAAGATGGCTCAGGACTGGGCAATGTTTCATTCTGTTGTATATGGAGTCAGAACTAACAGCAACTAAGAACAACAGATAACAATTCTCAGTATAGCTACTATGAAAGCAAAAATGATAGTACTATCATTACTTACTTTTTGGCAACTTTCGATGAACTCATCTATGGTAACCACCCCATCTTTATTTTTGTCCATTTTCTGTTCAGGAAGAAAAAAAAAATTATTCAGACTTATATTTGGATACTCCCACACCTGAAACAAATGAGCAGAAACTGATGAAAAGAAAGCGCGACTGCTTGTTTTGTTTTGTGAGGAGCAACTGCTCCATAGCACAAACTAGCTGTTTCTTGGAGAGAATATGGCCGACTCTTTTTAGGCTGTTCTCTTGGGCCCTAGGTACAGTTCTGCCTTCTAGCTATGAAAGCTCAGGTGATTTGCTGAAACTTTCAGAGCATTATTTTCCTCATCTGCAGAATGAGACTAATGAGGATTTATAACTTCATTAGGTTCTTGTGAGAATTGAATGAAAAAAATACATGAAATGTGCTGTGTCTCACTCGATTGTGTTCTCTCTAGGCTATAGTGAGTGCTCAATGACTGTGGTAATTGGTCTTATAATAAATTTAAGACCATAATTATTAAATTAGTAGGATGGTAAGTTTTTTATTTTTTGACCCTAATAATAAAAAATTATTTTCTTTGTATTCTTTTGGATAATCACTATGTTTTGCAAACATCAGGAAAATTTGATTTCTGTTTTCATTCCTACCTGGAAAAATGTTTCCACGTGTTGTCTAGGAGCATCTTCTTTGAGGACAGGATATGTGCATTTACCCATCATGTCATATATTGCTTTCATGATATCAAGCATTTCCTGAAAAGTAAAAGGCACTTGCATGAGGCTTCATGAAATATACTGAGAAGCGTTGACAGATTTTTCCCAATTTCAAATTTTTTATTTTTCTTTGATTCTTCATCAGGTGCCTTGTGGTTGTGCCAGAGGAAAAACCTACAGCTTTATGAATTAAAAGCAGCAGAATCAGAATGTAAGAATCACCTCTAATCTTGGTTTCAAAATGAAGCAAATTCCCATTATCTAGCATAATACTCTGGTTAATATTTGGATTTCCACAGACTACTCATAGACTGCCTTTGTTTTATTGGATTTTGTGTACCTTATATATTGATACCAATTTCCATTTAATGAGAAGAAAACTCCATACCATAGGAATTATACTAAAACTGATTGACAAGTCACAAAGCTCATTAGGATTTTCACTACCATTTTCTTACTATAACTTTAACCAAAGAAGTCACACATGCAGACCAGTCAAAGTAGTTTAACCCTGAGAAAAACATCTAGTTTTGCCTTGTCATTTCCCTTCTTCTGAAAGTGAAAATAGTAATTATCTGATTACAGAGGACATTCAGGTATATTGTTTCACCTTTGTTTTCTTTTTATTGAAGGTCCCTACATAAAAAAATCCCCTGGATTAAGTTGATAATACAGATGCAGTATACATTTGTATTTGAGAATATTCAGTTTTATTATAAATGATAAATAAGCTTGTAGTTTGTAAACCATAGGAGAAACCTTTTAAGATATTTTAAGTACAGATAAGTAGCAAGAAGTTTGTTAGACACAGGTAGAATTCATGTCATACGTTATTGTGTAAGACTAGTAAGTAGAACATGTTTGTGTTAAACACTGAAAGAGGTAGAAAGGGATAGAAGAACCAAGAGGTATCTAATATTCCTGAGGCACCTGGGTACTAAATGTTTATCATATACTAATTATACAAGATGCACTAAATATTTAGAATATGCTAAACATATGCAGACACTTAATATTCATGAGGTCATCTGTTAGTGACACTCATTCTGACCCCATGAGTCCTCTACCCAAGAAACGCAGTAACACCCATGGGTATTTATTAGGCTAACTGACAAGCTATAGCTGTGGCCAGGCACACTCGTCCTTGTGTCTTTCCGATAGAGCAAGTACATGTCATTGGCCCAAGGTATCTTTTGTCTGTGGGCCTTTTGCTTAAAACAACTCCTGGGAAGGCTGATGAGGCAGAGAGAAAGACCTGACATACGAACACTGAGCACTCCCAGGATTCATGTTCTGTGGTTCTCTGACCACACTTGCACCCTATCCTAAGTGTGTTAACTTATCCCGTCTCTTTCCCCTTGCTTCTCACTTTGTGCTTTAAATTGATTTAACAAACCATGTGATTTGAGTATCTTAATTTGGTTTGTGAGCCTTTCTGTTCTGTGTCCTCTTGGATAGCCTGCCTAGAAGTGTATTTGGAGCCTCCACCATTGCATCAAGGTGATTTCCCACACAACACCAGGTCATTGTGCCATCCGTATGATTTATAATATTGTGTCTGTTTCCATATGGACCACATTATATGGGGAAAATGGTTTCAGGCCAAATATTCTAACACGATATAATACATTTTCTTCCCATGTGATTCCAATCACAGTCTGTATGCTATTCACAGTATTAAGTGCTATTAGGAAACAAGGGTGTAATCCTATGTATTACATATTTATTTTGGAGATTCACCATAAATTATTTCTATTCATTTCAAATTTTTATTAGACTACTTCTTCCCTTACCACCACATAAAATATTTTGGATTTTCTGAAAAAAATTTCAAATGAATAATAGCAATTGTGTAATATTTTGAAAGTAAAAATAAATAAATAAAAATAGCCCAAGGGATAGCTGTGTTGGTAAGGTAGTTCTTACTTCTTTAGTGATGTAGCCATCTTTATTTATGTCATACAAATTAAATGCCCAGTTGAGTTTTTCTTGTACTGTCCCTCGGAGCAAAATGGAAAGACCCTTGATGAAATCCTAAAAAGAAATAAAAACATAATTTGATATGATATTTCTAAAAAAGTAAAACATAAATGTTGATTAAATAACCTCTCAAATGATGGAAGCAAGGGTTACAACCCTCTGGATTTTAAACCACGCTTAAGTTACAAAAGGATTCCCCCGTGATTTTTCTAGTACTTTTGAGGTTTATTTTTTACATTTAAATCTTGTTTCCATTTGGAATTTAACCAGTGTTTTTAAATAGTTACCTGGTTTCTCACCGTTACTTAGTAAATACCTCCATATTTTTACCTACAGATTTCAGATGCTACTTTTGTCATATCCTTAATTCTTTAAAGTATTGGCTTATATTTCTGGATTTTCTGTTTTGTTTTATTACTGTATCTGTTCAGCTGTGTACTTCTACCACATTGTTTTAATATTTTACAGTAAGTATCAGGGCTATTTCCCCCTCATTGTTCTTTCAGCTATTTTTCTGTTTTAATTTTCTACTTCACCTTTTGAATCTTCTTGTCTAAAGTAATAATTAAAAAAAAAAAATCCTGTTTGGGTGTTTCTATCTTTCAAGGTAAATTTGCAGGTTCACCTCAGCAGAACTGACAATTGCATGACGACAGATCTTCCTATTCAAGACTACAGGATGCCTTTCCCTTGTCCAAGTCATTTTTTGTTACTTTGTGAAGTAGTTTCCTATTGCTGCTGTAACTAATTCCCACAAACTTGGTGGCTTAAAACAACACAGATTTATTATCTTGTACCTCTAGAGGTCAGAAATCTGAATTTAGTTTCACTGGGCTGAAATCAAGGCATCAGGAGGGCTGAGCTCCCTCGGGGAGTATTAGGGGACTATCTGTTTCCCTGCCTTTTCCAGCTTCTAGAGACCACCTGCATTCCTTGGCTTATGGCCCCATCATCTGTCTTCAAAGCACATAACTCTAATTTCTGCTACAGTTGTCATATCTCTTCTCTCTCACTCCAGTCTTCCTGCCTTCCTTTTATAAGGACTGTTGTGATTACATTGGGCCCAACCAAATAATCCAGGATAATCTCATCTCAAAATCCTTGTATCTGCAAAACTCTCTTTTATCATGTTAAGTATCATATTCACAGGTTCCAATGAATAGAATGTGGAAATCTTCGTCAGGAAAGTATTCAGCCTATGACATTCAGGTATGTTTTAGACTTTTTTTTTTTCACGAATTGTTCTTTCACATTTCTGAATACATTTATTTCCAAGTATTTTAGTCTTCTTTTGCTGTTGCACATGAGGTCTTTTCTTCTATTATACCATCTAAACTAGTTTAGTTTGTATATATGAAAGCTATTTATTTCTGTATAATGTTTATACTCTGCCATCTTACTGAGTGTTCCTATTTTTATGATAGTTTTTCAGTTGATTCTACTGCATTTTTCAGGTATGAAATTATATCAGTTGCAAATGGAGTTTATTTTACTTCTTTCTAATTTTTATTTTTTTTATTTCTTTGTATTTTCTAATTGTGTTTACTAATACATCCAGAACAATGCTATTAAATAACAATAATATTCTTATTTTGTTCCTGAATCTAATGAGCATATTGCTAATATTTCTCCTTTAAGCCTAATGCTGCCATTTATCATGTTAAAGAGATTTTATCAAACTGGCGACTGAATTTTGCCAAATGTCTTTTCAGAATTTGTGGAGATGATAATGTGATTTTTCTCCTTAGACTTAGTAGTGTAATGAATTATTGAATTATTTTATTAGATGTTCTAATATTGAATCATCCTTACACTCTTGGAATAAATCCCATTTGATGTGTGTATATGTATGTGCACATATATTTTTTTCCTTTCTTTTAGTGCATTATATTTTTTAATAATTATTGAAGGGTCTTGCATTAATTGCATAAGTGAAATTGAGGTATATTTGTCTTTTTTTGTAAAACTACCGTTAGCTTTTTATTGTTTCTTTTTGGAAATTTGGAAATTTCCAGAATATATGTTTTTATATTCTGGAACAGTTTAATAACATGGAAAGTATTGTTTCATTAAAGGTTTTGTGAAATTCATCTGTGCAGTTGCGACCTTTGGGGAGTGGATGGGGCAAGGAACAAACTTTTTGACATTTTCAATTTCTTCCAGATGAGTGAGTCTGAATAAAGTTACAAGCATTCTCTTATACTGCTGAAAATACATTATGATATCATTTAAATGACTACATATTAGGTGGAACCATATGAAATTGCTGTTATTTGACAATATTTACCAAAATTAGTAATTTCACATGGTTCAATCTAATAATACCATCAGAATGGCTTTCAAACATTTTGAACCACAAGCCACAATAAGAATTTCATTTTAGACTGCAATTCAGTACACAGATGAATGTGTTATGTGTGTGTGTTCATGCACCAGAAGCTAAAGTTAATACTCTGATATTTCCTTTCTCTTTCTCTTCCATTTAATTTTTTTTAATGTGTGTCTCTAACTTCTAAATTAATTTCACTACCTTCTAATGGTTGCAGTCTGAAATTCAAAAGACTAATTTATCATATGAATATATCATGATTTTCTATTTCTCTATTGTATATATAAATTAAATATTCTTTACTATAAATGATGCTGTGGTGAACATTTCTTTATAACTTTTTTCCATCATTTTGACTTACTTCTTTAGGATAGGAAGTGTTACTACTAGGCAAAAGAGCCCTAGCATACTTAAATTTAATACTAATAATGATTACAGTTTGTCGACATGTGTGCCAAACCTGTCTTAGACACTTTCCAGGCCTTATTTATTTCATCCTCACACATCAAAGGGAGTAGATATTGTTGTCTTTGTATTATAGACTGAGGCTTTTTTAGATTAGATAAGATTTCTGGAATGTCCATAGAGATCTTTCATAGCATTCCTGACAGAGTAGTCATCGAGTTTTCGCTTGAATACTTTCAATGATAGGGAGCTAACTGTGTAATGAGATGACGAGTGCCATTATTAATTGGTTTTGTTAGAAAACTCTCCTAACTCATAACTAACTGCAATGGTTAGCAGTTACACTGAGCGTGCATTTGGTGCAAGGCACTGATGCAAGCCCTTTACTGACGTTATTACTTCCCCCAAAGAGGAGACTGACTTATTCTAGGACTGGGGCAGGAAAGATAGAGATGAATCTGGAGTATCTTGTAGTGCCAGAAAATAAGGAAGCGCTCAAAAAAAAAAAAAAAGCCAAAATGATAGGGGTATGTCAGAGAGACACAGGAGCTAACTGAAAGAGCTCCTAGTGGGCAAAGTTGGAACAATTTGAGCAATAAAATAAGAAATAGTATTGAATTATGAACCAAAGCGTGCAACAAAAATCCATGAGTCCATACTGATATAAGTAAATAATTGCATAAAATAATAAATGGAGGGGAAGAAAGAAATCTCTTGTGCAGAAGAATCTCAAATAAATTATGTAGATACTTCACACTCAAAACTGGAAAATAATCCCCAACTCCTTAAGTGAGGGCTACACATAGTGACTTCCTTCTGTATTAGATAATATAGAGTGTCTGCAAGGCTGTGAATTTATCTCAGCTAGCTCTGAAGATTTCACATGAGAGATCATGGACTTAAACCTGTCTCACAGGTAAGACAACACAGTTGCTAACAGATGCATCCTGGAGTCAGACTGCCTGGGTTTGAATCCTGGCTCTGCTACTTTCTGTCTGTGTGAATTTGGGATAATAATAGTACCTGTGAGTATTAAGGAGCCCTGGTGGCATAGCGGTTAGGAGTTCAGCTGCTAACCAAAAGATTGGCAGTTCAATCCACCAGCTGCTCCTTGGAAACCCTGTGGGGCAGTTCTACTCTCTCCTATAGGGTTGCTGTGGGTTAGATTCGACTTGACAATAACGGGTTTGGTTTGTTTTTTTTAAATGAGTATTAAGGTGCAAACAGTTAACACACTTAAGGTTGGAGGTTTGAGTCTACCCAGAGGCACTTTGGAAGAAAGGCCTGGTGATCTGCTTCTGAAAAATCAGCCGTTGAAACCCTATGGAGCACAGTTATACTCTGACACACATGGGGTCATCATGAGTTGGGACTGACTGGACAGCAACTGGTTATGAGTATTAAACATATCCATATATGATTCACTCAGCACAGTATCTGGCTCATAATGAGTAATAAATGTCAACATTTCTGTTCTGTAGCTATTATTATTGTTAATATAAATTTTAAGAAGTTAGTACAATGACTGACACACAATATGTGCTTGCTATAATTAGATGAGGGATTATCTTTCATAGCATTCCCAATAGAGTAGTCATCAAGCCTTTGCTTGAATACTTTCAGTGATAGGAATGAGATGAGCAGAGTCATTTGCTTGAAAAATCTCCCAAGTCATATCTGCAGTGGTTAACATCTAATAAATACTGAGTGCGGATTTGGTGCCAGGCACTGAAGCAAGCCCTTTAGTGACATAATTACTTTTTCATGCTCACATTATCCTACAAGTAGCTTTGGTTGCTGATGTTTTACAGACATGAAGACTAAGGCCCGGCGGGTTTAAATACCCTGCCCAGGGTCTCACAGCCACTGGTGGCGGGGTGGGAATTAAATCCAGTCGTATCTGAATTCAGTGCTCATCCTGCCTTATCCATTCTGAAAATTTAGTGGAAAACTTTCGTTTCCTTGTCTCTCAGAATCAGGATGTACTACTACTGCACATGTACTACTGTATTTGTATTTGTACATGAATACATTTGCTACTCAAAATGTGTTCATTGCCTAATCATTTCTATTTTTTTGTTTGGAGACAATCTAGATAGTTAATCAATTTAGAGAAATAACTGCATAGCCAAGTTTTAAATTCAATTTTGATTTAATATGTGTTAATATAGCCATTAGTTTGCCTTTGAAGGAAAAGACATTTTACCAACATGCTTATCATATATAACCATTACAACTAATTTTCCAAATTCTAATCAACGTTCTTCACAATTAGTGGTATTTTACATAAATACTATAATAGCAATGTTAAGCATGGTCC